CAAGTAGAACTGAGGTCTGACATTTAGAGCTTCCTGAACACCATGAGTGGCTTTGAGTCCTAGCAGAGGTCAGCTTCCCATTTGCCAGCCAAGCAGAAGATGGGGATTCTGGCCGTAGGTAGAAGACAAAAAAGACAGCCTCAGACACTCATGCTGTCAGCATCACGTGAGTCTCTGTGAAGAGGTAGGGCTGCACATTTGGTATGTGACAGAGGGGTCAGAGAGGGACAAAACTGTTGAACCTGTGATTCTCTCTCTCTATCTCTCTCTCTCTCCCCCTCTTTCTCCTTGTCTTTCTCTCATACACACACACACACACACACACACACACACACACACACACACACAGAGAGAGACTGAATTTCTGTTTTTTGTTTTGTTTGTAGTGTTTTTTGAGTGGTTCTGGGGTTTGAACTTGGGGCTTTGCACTTCCTAGGTAGGTGCTCTACCACTTGAGGCACATCCCAGCCCTTTTTGCTCTAGTTATTTTTTCAGATAGGGTCTCACATTTTTGTCTGCATAGCTGGGATCACAGGTGTGCACACTACAGCCAGCTTATTGGCTATATGAGGTCTCCCTATTTTCATTGGGTGGCCTTGAACCACAGTCCTCCTGATCTCAGCCTTCCGAGTAGCTGGGATTACAGGCATACACCAATGCAACAAGCCCTTAGGATCTTGGTTTTGTCAGTTCATTATCCCTGAGGTCTTGGGACAGCCTTTCCATCTGTGAATCTAATTGTTCCATCCATAAAGTTAGTATCTCATAAGCCTTGCAGAATGATTGTGGGGGTTAAATGAGATGATAACTTGTAAAATGTCAAGTTCACTACATGATCCATCATGTCACTTAACAAATAATAGTACATGCCTCCCTTTCCCTTATGTGAGCAGGGCTCACCACCTAGGAGGGTGTACCACTGCCTGACAACCCGTAGCTGAGATGTCAGAACAATCTTCTCTCTCTCTCTCTTCCCCAGCCTCTTGGTAAAGCTAAATGAAAAGCCTCATTGTCCTATGGAGAGAAGAAAGTCTGCTAAAACAAACGTGAAAGCCTTTTCTGTTATAAAATATTCATTCTATGTTCCCAAGTACTTCATGGAATCTGTTCAGATTGAATGAAGTTCTATTTCTCAGCAGTTATTCTCACATGCTCATATATGAAAGGAACTGTTCTCAAATGTCATTCCATTTTCCACTTAGAGATGGTTCCTGTTCTTCAAATGCTGAAAGCTATAAATGCCAAACTGAGAAACAACCATTGACCCTGACTTATTTTTCTCTGGCTCCCTAACCATTGTATTTTGTCTGATATTAAATATTACCATACAGATTTTATGTTGGTATCTCTGTTGTACTTTTTCTCCATTCCTTTATTTTTAACAGCTTTTTTAAAGTTTAACTTACATGCAATAAAATCAATTTTAAGTGCACAATTTAGTGTTTGGACAAGTGGTAGCTCTACCATAATCATAATGTAGACATTTTCATCACTTCCTGAATGTCTCTCTTGCTTCTTCATAGCTGGTCTTTTTGCACCTTTAGGTTTAGAACCCTGGCCTGTTTTCTGACAGCTAGTTTTGCTCTTTATTAACTGTTAGGGAAGTAGAACGTTCAATATATAATGCTTTTATGTCTGGTGGCTTTTACTCAGCACAGTAATTTTAAGATTCATCCAGGAGCTGAACTGTGGGTAGAACAAGGGCCATTGGTTACTCTGTGCTGTGTCATTAGGAAGAACTTGTTCAACTTTGTGACAAACTGCTGGATTCTTTTCCCAAGTGACTGTACTATGTTGATTTTTACAAATGTAGCAGGGTATGAGAGTTCCAGTTTCTTTACATTCTTGCCAACACTTGATTATATCAGTCTTTTTAATTGTTACTATTCTAGTAGCTTTGTTGTGGTACCTCATTGCGGATTTATTTTCATTCATTTACTTATTAAAAAAATTTTTTTTTACTAAAGATTGAATCCAGGGCCTCTCTCATACTAGGTAAGCACTCTACCACTTTGAGCCATGCCTAGAGTCCTTTTTTTGTGTATTTTTTGTTTGTTTGTTTGGCTTTTGAGACAGGGTCTCACTAACTTTCCCTAGACTGACCTTGAATTTGCAATCCTCCTACCTTAGCCTCCGGAGTAGCTGGAATTATAGATGTTGTGAATTTAATTTGTACTTTTGTAATGACTAAAGTGCTAAACATCCTTTCATATGTTTGTCCTCCATGTATTTTCTTTGGCAATAGGTCTCTTCAAATCTTTTGTGCATTTTTAAGTGGGTCATCTTTTTTTTTCTTATTGAATTTTTAGAGTTTACCTACTCTTGATATAGATAATTCATCATATAAATATTTCTTGCAATTATTTTCTGCCAGTTTGTAGCTTGACATGCCATTACATTTTGAAAACAGAAAAAATTAAATGCTCTCAGAAACTAACATATAGTTTAAAATTATGAATTTGTATATCTTTATCTTATCATAACAATATTTAGAAGTAAGCATAAAAGTTAATTTAAAGTCAGGAACCAGTGACCCATGCTTGTAATTGTAGCTACTTGAGAGGCAAAGAGCAGAAAGATCAAGGTTCAAGGCCAGCCCGGGCAAAAAAGTTTGCAAGACCCCCATCTCAACAGAAAAGTCTGGACAAGGTGGCACACACCTGTCATTCTAGCTATAGTGAGGAAGCACAATTAGGAGGATTGTGATCCAGGCCAGTTCAGGCAAAAAGGAAGACCCTATCTCAAAAATAACAAGAGCAAAAAGGGCTGGGGGTGTGGCTCAAGTGGTAGCATACCTGCCTAACAAGTGCAAGGCCCTGCAGTCAAACCCCAGTACTATCAAAAAAAGTTTATTTAATGTATGAGACAACTTGATATGACAAAATTAATAATGTGTGCTTTCTATTATTTCCCTTGAGTGCAGAGTAATAAGAAAAACAATGACAAACAGCTAACATTTCTTCAGTACTATGTGTCAGGCACTCGTTTAAGTACTTTATATGTACGCACACACACACACTGATTTAATCCATATAACAAGGTCATTGTTATCACCAATTTAAAAACAAGGAAGTGAAGGGATAGAGAAACAAGTAACCTGCCAAGTATCAGACAGCTAGAATTATTTGGTTTAATTTATTTTTTAAATAAAAAATGTCTCATGTCCAGTACCTTTTGGTTAGCAATGGTGGCTTAAAAATACAAACATTTCTTGAAATCCACAGTAGACACAGCCATGTGCAATGGTGTTTGTCTTCTGGGAATGATAATTACCCACCACCTCATATTCTAAATGTTTAATTCAAAGAGTGAGAGTGTCAGGAAGGAAGTGGACTCGAAAACACGATGGATGCATTTGGTAATAGTAATCATGGAGTTCCATGTGTTCATTTTGGAGGAAGAGGAATTGCATTACAATAATAAATTTTAATTTATGTGATGGTGTCACACATTTTCAGTGTCATATCAAATCAGGTGATAAATATCAAGACAGCTTGAAAGGAAGTAATAGATCTTAGAGAAAGAGGCAAGATATTCTAAATTTTCTTCCTTTTCTCGTAGGAATGTCAGCTATGAAAAGAGGCCAGTCCAATTATAAGACTGTAAATTTTTAAAAAGGGGCACGAGTTGTCTGTAATGAGTGCAGGTGAGCCCCTTGCAAGCCCATGACCGTAGCAAATTACTTCTCTGAGTTACTGTAAGAATGAAATCTTTAGCATTCCTGGAGCACTTGGCCCAGGAGTGACACACGGTGAGCACTGAATAAACAGTTACTACTTTTAATATAATTTTAATCCATAGTAAAAAGTGAGCTGGCTCCACATAACAAGTGTGAAAAACTGTGGACTTTTAGAGTCATCAGGCCTAGGTTCATCACCAGGTCAGTTTCTGAAAGTGATTTGCTGAAAGGTTTTCTGAATCTTTTTTTTTAATCTTCTCCCTCCACTTTATCAGTTTTGAATTTTCATTTATTTATTTGGCAGTACTGGGGTTTGAACTCAGGACCTCCTGCTTGCTAGGCAGATGCTCTACAACTTGAGCCACATTCCCAGCCCTTAAAATTTTAAATTCTTTTTTTAGTTTCAGGAACTGATCTTTGCCCTGTCTCTGCTTCTGGCAGTGAAACAGCACTGACCTTTCATGAATTGACCCATGGGGGTTTGACTTCCAGCTAACGAGTTTTCTGCTCATCAATGCATTGGCAAACTGGCCTGCTCACCCTAGGTTTGAATCTTGCTGTGACTTACCAATTGTGTGTGACCTTGGGAAAGCTCCTGAACCTCCCTGAGCCTACAGGCACATGGAAAGAATAGTAGTTAACTAAGTCAAAATACGTAAAGCATTCAGAAGAGTGCTTGGCATGTGGTCTCAGTCTAGTACAGAGTCCAGGCTCTTCATCACTGCGTCATGCTCCCTCTCAATGAATGTATGTGGGAGGCAGGGAGGCGGGGGCTTTGAGGCTGGGTATATAACACTACCTATGTCAGCTACACATGGATTTCTTGGGAAATTTATGTATATTAATTCATACCATCTGCTATTAATAGACTGAAGAAGTATTATTAGTTGGAATTCTGAGATATCATTTTTTTTCTCTTTCAAACCCAAGATATCAAATGTGACTATGACTAACTTAATTAATAAAAAGTTCAAGATAGATTTTCTTTCTCTCCTGTTTTCCATTCAGTCTTTTTTTTGAGGTGCTAAAGATCCAACTCAGGGCCTTGCACATGCTAGGCAAGTGAGCTCCATCCTCAGCCCTCCTTTCAGTCTCCTGGTGACAAGTGATGGGAAATTCCCACTGTGCATGGACTGCCTGGAGTACTCAGGAACCTACCAATGGGGGTGACTGAAGTTATAAAGGGCCAAACACAGAAATGGGATTTGAGTACAAGTGGCATGTTTGGGACCTTAAAAGGTGAGGTGGTGGGTCTGTAGCACCCCGCTGTCAGGGAGAGCTGGAAATCTCACTTGCCCCTGTCTCATGTTGTATGTTACAGCCTTGCTCCTCTTCCTCCTTTTGAAGATGGAGAAGATGCTCGTGGGCTGTTTGCTGCTGCTCCTAGGAGAGGTCTTCCTTCTCTTCCCTGTTGCAGCCAGAGAGCGGCCCCACGCCAGGTCCCTGTCCAGAGGCAGACACGCTCGGACCCACCCCCAGACTGCACTCCTGGGTGAGTGATCGGCAGCCTGCAGCAACAGGGGTTGGGGTAGGGAAGGTGGTTAGGGAATGGGACCAACCAGGGAGCTCTCCTGTGCCTGGGTCCTCACTGGCTGGTGAGGGATCTCATTGATGACAAGTGCATCTGGAATTGAGGATGTCACATATGCAGGTTTTCAAATTAAAATGAAACTCTCTATTTTAAAGCCTTTGATTTAATCTGATGCTCACAGCTCTTCTCCAGTACACAGGTTACGATTTTTCATTTGAAAAGGTCCTTGCTGTACTTATCTGGACAAGGGTGTTATGAGAAATTTTTTATTAGATTTGTCCAGATAAATCTATTAATAATACTCTCAGACATGGCAGGAGAAGAAAAAGCAGGCACAGAGAGAGGTGGGGACCTTACAGCTGAATCCATACATCAGGAATGATTATTTCCACCCAGCAAAAATGTTTTCTACAGAGAGAGGAGATGTCACGAAACACACAGATTAACTGACCAATCTGAACATGGGTGCTGCCATGCCAAGAAGGTTAGCCAGTGGAAACAAAATCTATTTTGACATAGACCTGGGTCTAAGTCTTGCCTCTTACTTACCAGTCATGTGCACATAGGCCAGGTAACCTCTCTGAGGCTCAGTTTTGTCCTCTATAAAATGGGAACTTGAATGCCAACCCTGGAACATTTTTGTGAGGAATAAATGAAAATTTTAAGAATGCTGTAAGTAATGTCTTTAGCTCAACTCTCCATCCATGAAGATCTGTACTGTAATGTACAGCGTGTTGCCGAGCTGTTAGAACCTGCCTTCCTGGGAAGGATAGTTAGGGAACTGTATCTGGAATTCAGTCAGGGACCAAAGGAATCAAAGAGCCTCGTTGGGAGAGGTCATAGTCTTTGCTGATGTTGACTAAACAGTGACCCCAATGATACATGACTTCAGTCTCCTGAGAGTCCCTATTCCATAGTAATATAACCATAAGACTTCTGCCTAGGAGGGGAAGGTGGTACAATGTATAAAATTTAAAAAAAAAAAAAGCAAAGACTTCTGCCTATGTTGAAAAAGACTAAGAAATGTCTAGTGCATTGATTAAAGGGTTTTTAAAGAAACCAATTTAAAGATATAAACACTATAATGTAGGTACCCACGTACATATATGCACACTGGAACACCAGCAGTGATTGCACAGCAGTGATTAAGTTTATTTGTGTTGTGCTGAGACTCAAACCCAGGGCCTTGTGTATGCTAGACAAGTGCTCCACCACTCAGCCATTCCTCCAGCCCCACAGCTGGGTTTCTGATGAGGCTAGTCTCAGAATGAGCCACCCCACACTTAACTGGAAAAGTGTACTCCTTCTTTCACACACAAACACACACCAGTTTCTGAAATGGTAGACCCTGACTTCGGAGATAGGAAGCAGAAGCCTGTTTTGCTAAAGGCATCAGTCCTCACATCCAGCATTGCCTCTTCTTTCTCCATTTGCTAGACAATGAGTCAAGGTCAAAATGGAGGAAGGGACATGGCACATCTCCCCCACCAGGGATAGGAAGTGGCATGCTGGCCTCACATGTGGCCACCCTAGACACACGGGAAGGCTGCTTGGCTCCTGAGTGTGCTTGAGTGAGAATCATGAAACCAGAAAGCAGACCCTACAGTCGTGGCCTGGACTCTGCTTTGGGCCTTCCTCTGAAGGGAACCAAGGTGGAGAAGCCATGCTCATTGGCAGGCCCTGGTCACGTGGCCTTGTCTTCATTCGCAGAATGCTGTCTTCTGTTTCACGGGTGTTTGCCTTTCTTGGTTTTTTGTTTTCCATGTTTGGAACACTGTATGGGCCACATTTCACTTCTTTTTTTTCTTTTTTTTGGTGGTAGTTGGGTTTGAATTAAGGGCCTCACACTTGTTACACAGGTGCTCTACTGTTTGAGCCACTTCACCAGCACATTTCACTTTTTTGGTAACAAATCATTTTGGCTGTAATTATAGCACCCCTCTCCCTCCCAGCCGGATGTATTTCACTGATTAACTGCTTGTGTATTTGCTTGTTTCTGAAGCTTTAACAGCATAGAAATAATGGAACTATTTCTTAGGTTAATATTTTGTTTGACTTTTCTGGGTTTTTAAAATGTGTATATTTTATGTCTAAATTCAAATCAGAGTCTCAGTGACAGATTGGGCCCATTAAAAAAATAAATCTGTCTATCCACCTCTCCTGTGAATGTTTGTAGGCTGCTCATCCAGCAGCCTGTGCTGTCTGTCCATACCAGCTTATCTTTTACCTCATTCAGTAATCTGGAATTTCAGTCACTCAGACCCAGTGCATGAGGTGGAAGATTTAAGATGTATGGCCACCACAAAGAGTACAATATAGTAAGGAAACAGACATGGAAAATGATCACTAGTTTGGTGGAATCTGTGTGCAACAGTAAAGGCATATCTGAGTTACAGCGCCACTCTGCCCACTGGGTGCACTCAAGCTTTTTGATCTCGGGCCTTCTTTGTACACTCAAAAATTATTAAGAATCCCAAAGACCTTTTGTTTATGTGATTTAGATATATTGAGGTTTACTGGATCAGAAATCAAAGTGAGGAACTTTAAAAATATTTGTTAATCTAGAAATCTCTACTATGTTAACAAACTATTTTATTAAAAGTATATTTTATAAATAATCAAAATTTAGTGAAAAGATGGACTCTGTCTTACATTTTGCAAATCTGTTTAATGTCTGGCTTAATATAAGATTCCTGGATTTTCACTTCTCATCTACTCCATCTATCATGAATTTTTTTTTTCCAGTGCTGGGGATGGAGCCCAGGGTCTTGGGCATGCGAGGCAGGCTCTCTACCACTGAGCCACATCTCCAGTCATGAAATATGGGATGGTACCCTCTGCACCATCAACCTTGCCAGGCTGTGACAAAGGGCAGGTTCTAACTGGCCATCCAATCCACAGGGACCACCCTGAGCAATGCTGTCAGGTCCGCAGAATGAATGAAGGCAAAAGGAGTTAGCAGCAGGCTGTGCTGTGCCCACAGTCATGGGTTTTGTCCCCTGTTGATCTGTCTTTATCAGTGGCACACCTCCCCTTCCCTGCTTCTCCCCAGTCCCCGTCACAGTAATGATAACTGGAAGACACCTCCAATTACCGCCTGCTTTATTTGTGCACATTCGTACTCTTGGCTACATCACTGTCCAATAGGGGAGGGGAGCTGGACCTGTTGCCAGGGCAACCAGCAGGGCCTATCAGGCTCTTTGGAAACCTTAATCATCCTGTCCCTGCCCAAACACTGTATTCTTGACTCCCCGCATTCCTGAGAATGCACAGACTATGGAACCTTCTGCCAGCTTGCTTTCCCAGTTTTGTCTCTCCCAAGATCTTGTTAACATGTGCATTCTTTGCTAAATTTACCAGCCTTGTTCATTTTGCACCTACTAACCAACTTTGAGACCTTTGCCTTTTCCTCTGATAGATTCCACTTTGGATTGGTACCATCCATTCGGAATTCATGTTTTGTGTTTGTTGAGAGCTCTTTGTGGCATTATGGTAGTAGATTCGAGAAATGAGTGGCAAAGATTGAAAAGGAGACTGGCCCCTTAGTGTGGTCAGGGCATGGTGGGAGCTGAACGCCTCTTTCCCTCTCTCATAAACATTGCCAGGAAGAATTCCAGAGGCAATAGCACTTAATGGAACTTCTTCATAACTATTAATTAAGCTAATGAAGAAAATGTAAGAATTCACCTTATACAACTCCAAACACTGCTCTTTGGAAATCACAGTACATCACAAAACACCAATTTCAATTTATAATTAAACCTGACATCAAAATATTAGTAAAATTGCTATGCTTTTCATCTGAGAAGTTGAAGCCTCCTAAATTAGCAGTGTAATGGAAGGAACTGACTAGCTTGGAGATTTGCAGTAAGAGTGTCCTGTCTGTGGCCAATGGGCTTTTTTTTTTTTTTAAACCTAGTTTGATAGTTAACATTTCAAGCATTGGCTTCCAGTAAAGAGATTTCCTCACCCTAAACCAATACCTTAACTGACATTCATTGGCACCCTCAGTGAGGGAGGAAAAGCAGTTGCCAAAGGCCATCAGAGTCTCTGGCAGCTCTGGGTGAGGCCCACACATTAAAGCCACCCACCTCCCATCCTAAGAAGCCACCCGGTCATGGTGAGGACTTTGGTCTTTCCTGATCTGGAGCTTTGTTCATCCTGTTTTCCACCCGGAATTTCCATCCTCAGCTAAGACCTGTTATCAGCCAAGGTCAAGTTACATCCTGTCTCCTCCCTCTCCTAGCCACGGAAGAAGAACCTTAGACACACCCTGCTCAGGTGTCCACTCAGTCTGCCTTATATTTGGAGGGTAGTAGTGATACCTCAGAGGTATCACTGCCTCAGAGGGATTCCTATTCTAGTTATTTTTGTGTTTGTCTCCATTTTTGCTAGATCGTAAATCCATTGAGGACAGGGACTGAGCACTTTTCATTTCTCATAGTGCTGATGGAGGGTAGCTCTCAACATTATCTCATTTAACCCACGGGGGGAAAACACTGCAAGTTAAGCAATTTATTGAACTTGTCAAGGCTTCTGCTAACCTAGACAAGAAATGTGCCCAACCTTCCATAGAAAGGATGCATGGCTTGGAGAATTGATTGTGTGCATGCATGCATGCATGTGGTGTTGGGGATCAAACGCAGAGTCTTCTGCATGCAAGGCAAGTGCTCTACCTCTGAGCTACAGCCCTAGCCCCTTACCTCCTACTCTTGAACATGGGGATTTCAGCCCCTTTGGCTCTTCGACCAGGGCTTTTTGTGCAGACCATGAAATACCTGTCTGCATTTGGAGGTGCTGCTGCTGCTGCTACACTGGCTGCTGCTGGTCACACCAGCTCTGGCCACGTGTCAGGTCAGGCCATTCACCCTGCACACCAGATAAGGAGACATGGAGAAAGCAGAGAAAGGAGATTTATTACAGGGCCCAGGGCATACAGTGGAAAGAGGCAGAGTGAGCAC